TATTTGTTGCTGTATTTGTCGTTGGCTATTAAGGTTCTGGATTTATGATTAATTGACTATTTTCGTAAATACTGACACGGGATAATTAAAAGATATTGACAGCTTAAATAGTATTGAAATTTATGTTTGCAAGACTCAGAATATCAAAAATTTTATAATCTGATAATGGTCCCCAATGTGATAGTTTATAATTTGAAAAGTTTGCTCATCCCTAGAATTTTGATCGTAGAACCTCGAACCCTCGTTATGCTCAAGAAAAGGGTATGGTAGACAGGCAAGTACAAACTGTAAAATAAATGAAAACAGATCATGAAAACAAGGACTCATATTTAGCATTATTACAGTACACTGCGAAAATGGATGCTAAGATTTCACGAAACTCTCTTCGTTTTTGATTAACAATCGTCACTTTCTTTTTTTAATTTTATCAAAATTAAAAAAATATTACGCCATTTTATTGTTTTTTCCAAAAAAGAAAAAAAAAGGAGAATATAATGTATTTAACTTTTATAATTAAAACTTTAACGTGGTCCCCATATAAGTGGATTAACGTCGCTTAAACAACGCTCATCCGTACGCGAATTGACAAAACATACCGTAGATTGCAAAGAGTTGGCGAAAATTTCTATTGGCGTTAAAGGAGCGTTCTCGCAAATCGCCAAACAGCTGTGTGCTTATGTTTTTGTTTTGTTTTCGGTATCGCATAACATTCAACAAGTTAAATATGGGCGCGACATTTCAATTAAGCGGGTCTTCATTTGATTCTTCTGCATCAAATAAAATATAAAGCGTATTTTTTTGTTATAGCGCCGACATAATCGTTTGTATCTGTTGACTAAATTGTGTTTATTAGCGTTTTTTAAAAGGTCGTAATAGAACTAAGATAGAAAAATTACACATTATTACATATTCTATAGTTTCATAACTTTCATTAAATGTATTTCGAGTAGTGAAATTCTTTTCCTACTCATCCACTAATTAGAATTAATAATTTCACAATAACCTTTAATCCTTAATAATGAAATGATTATTATAATAAAGTTTGTTTACTTAAAAGATTAAAAAAATTTTTTTATTGTTTAGCAGAGACTTGGTTTCCAATTCTATATTCATTAATTAAACTTAATGGTTCTGCTCGATAACCATCTCCAAATTTTTTAAAATTTTATTTAATTTTCTGTTATTATGAAATTCTTTAAATATTTTTCGACGTAGAGATTATTTAGCAATAATGCGAAAAGCTGAAATTTATAAATGTATAATATTTATAAATGTTTAAGAGAATTTTTAGCAGCTATTTTGTACTAATTATTTTAATTGAAATGTTCATTATACGCAGTTTTATAATAATAATCGTAAAATTCATTGAACAATTGAGTATTACATTTTAAAATGCAAGTATAATTTAATAATTATTTCATTTTATAACTGCAAAACGGTAGATAAGTAACTTCGTTATAAAGTTTTACATGATACGAGAATATTATACGATTGCTTTATAATGAAAGAACAACAATTTAAGTTTTAAACTTTTTGTGGAAAAGAAAAAATTGAAAATTTCTCCTGTCATCGGTGTTAGCGATTAGAGAGTCTTTTATCGTATAAATATTAAGTCAGTATTGTTCCCTTTTAAATAAAAATGCATTTTGCTCCGGAAAAAAAAATTACTTGAATTTTGTCGATAGAAATTCCCTAATTATAGCAGCAAAAACTTTTAAATTTCTAATCAAACTTTCCTTCATTATAATTTTGTGTAAATAATTATTATTAATAATATAAATGACTATTGAAAGGAATTAATTGAGAATGTCCAATTTTAATGAATTAACTGTTTACGCAATCAGATTAATAATTTTTTTCATAATTTACAAATGGAGAAAAAGTCTTTACAGTTTAAAAGTGAAGAGAAAAATATAGTTGAGATTAAATTTATAAAGTAAGCACAACCCGAAGGAGATTGAAGTAATGGCATTAAAATCGAAATTTCAAAAGAAAAAAAAATCACGTTTTAGTGTACAGTGAGCAGTAAACAAAAATCTAAAACTAACTTTTGATCTAATGATCAGATGTTTACGTTCTAGGACTCAATCTTAATGGATCGAGAGGGTGAATTCAAATATGCCGCTTAATTATAGCAGACAATATATTTTAAGTTCGGAAATCAGACACTAAAACGAGCCTACTTTGAGAAATTTTTTTCCTGCGTATTCGGATTTTTGATCCCCAGTATATAGGGGTTGCCGCAATCTGGAAATATTATCCCAATAGTTTGGTCAGGAAAGCAATGCAATGTTAGGACCCCTTAGTGTTAACCTTACTTTTTGCGCATTTCACCATATCTTGGGAACTTTCCAGTGAACTTTTAAGTGAATTGAAAATTTTTTGCACTCAATGTTTTAATGTTCATTTAATTTAGAATTTCCTTCATTCCCTACCACTATTGTAAGATATTTACTTTTCACCTAACTTGTAAAATTAAAAAGTTTAGAATTCTTTACAAAATCACTCAGGCGAAGTGATTGCCTTTTATTTAAATCTTATTTAGAAGGTATTTTTCTTAAAGTATTTCATTTAAAGTTTTTATCATTTTAAGTTGAAATGAATGTCGCCCTGCTTTGCATAGTTCAAAAATTATTTCAAAGGAAACATAACTTAACATTAAACACTCAGGACTTACAATTATAAATCAAACAATCACTACATTTATTTATTAAAAAACACTCTTATGAACTGATAATAAATTGATCTAAGTCCTAAATGTGAGTTCTATAATATATAATTTATTTAAACTCAGTATATACATCTGACCTCTGTTGTCGCCAATGGCTCAATTTTAAAATATAGTTTTTCTTTTACAAATTTTCGGATATTTTCATATGAAGGATAGTATTAAGTTTGAGAATTAAAAATTTTTGTTTAAAAAAGTTGTTAAAAATTATAATTATTATTAATACTTGACAACAGGAAGTTTTCAATTAAAGGTTGAAAATTTTTTTAATTATGTTATTTTTTAATTCTGTTATTTTTTTAATTATGTTTTTAATTACCTAATTCATATAACAGTATTTAGGAATCTATAAATTTATGCTACGTATGATCGTTGCAGAATAACCTGCACCCAATATATGTAAATAAAATATATTTTTAAAATTGTGCATTTTCTATTAATTGCATTTATTATTCTTATACTGAAAGAGTATCAAGGTATCTATGACCTCCATAATAAATGAAGTATTTACGGACTTTTATATATATTAAGGAATTGAGTCAATTTTTCACGAAGTTTAAGATCTCATCCCATTGAAAAAAAAGTTATTTAATAAATATTTTTTTACAATAAATGCTTCTAGTAATAAAACAAACGCGATATAGGTCATTGAAGAAAAATCCCTTCATTTGTACATTTTTCCCTTCTTGAAATTATTTCACATATTTCTTTTTTCACTAGCGAATTTCCGATTACTTTAAAATTTTAAAAATATCGATTTTTTCATTTGCAAGAAATTTTTACTTTAAAGCGTGATAACATTTTTGAATACTCCAATTTTTTTTTCTAATAAATAATATGTCTTTGTTAATTTCTAAAAAAAATGTTCATAAAAAAGTTTACATTATTCTTTTATCAAGATTGATTTAACAGAGAAAATCACTAAATTAAAACAGGTTATGTTTTCTTACAATAAAAGTTAAATAGAATTAATTCTTTAAAATAGCGTTCCAATAAAACATGGTATTAAAATGTTACGTTATTTTTTGTGATTGGTTCATTAATAAATTATTTTTATTTCTTCACAAACACAATTCTTGTAAAAAAAATTAAATCTGTTATATCAAAAAACTAGATCGTTTTATAAAATATAAATTATTGCGCTTAATAAAATATAAATACAGTTTATTTGTAACGTGATCCTAAGAATAAAAAGGTTATTTTCTTTTTTAATTTTCTACTAAAATGAATTAATGAGTTATTTTTATTCATCATGGCTAGCCGAGGAGGAGAAAAAAAATATCGAATTTCACTGTTTAGGTTAATGTAATTTCGTTCAATTCCACGTGCAATCGCCTAGTTTATAATCTACGGTATGTTTTGTCAATTCGCCATCCGTACAAGATATGGCCCAGGTTTCACAAGAATATGTTAAAATGGATCTTAAAAGCGATTTATATAATAAAATAAAACTTTTGTTTTACTATGAATTTCATTAGATTTTACGTATTTTCGAATTCTATTAAAACATTTATTAGCTATAGAAATTCTTCTTTGTATTTCCATTGTAATATTGCTCCTGTTGTTTATTACAGAACCCAAGTAAACGAAATTGTCAACAACCTCAAATATATATTCTTCAATTTCTAAATTAGTGTTATTGAAGCTTGTTTTAGTACAGGGCAAATATTTAGTTTTGCTCTCGTTTATTCTTAAGCCCATCTTGAGAGCCGCTTTCTCTAAAGAAATGAAAGTTTGTCTTAGAGCTATAGGTGTTCTAGCAATAATGTTGTAATGGTTTGACGAATAACGAAATAAAATCGAATCGAAAAACTTTGAAATAAATGTCGAAAATAAATAAATAAGAAAATACGCATTTTATTTTTAACCCTTCAAATGTGAAAAAAAGACATCTCTTTATAAAAAAAATTCTGCATGTGCAAGGGTTAAAAGAGTTTTGTTTCTTTCTTCTTTAGAAAAAAAAAATGATATTTACTATAAATTTATTTTCTCAAATCTATTTCCTCAACTTTATTTACCTTAAAGGAAATAACGACGAAGAATTCGAAAAAGTAAAAATAAGTTATAAATACAATAAAATAAATTACGGTACTTCATACTTAACAGACAGTTTTAACAGACTTTAAAATTAGTAACTATAAATTGTGAAAATCACAATAATAATGAAGCCAAGTTGGTGATAAACCTAAAATGTTTAAGCCAAAAAACGATAACCCTATAATTTGCTGCCAAGAAATTTTTATTGTTAAGTTCCGGTTCTCCTCTTTTACGTAACTAAAATGAAAGCATCTGATGCATCGCCGCCATTTTGTTATATGTTGTTGATAAAATATTTTTCTTTAAAATTTGGCAACTGTCTCCAAAAGAAAATGGTGGAAGATTGTTGCTATACTGAAGGATAATAAACTAGATAAGAAAGCTATCGTTCTGACAGTTTCGATGTCTCCTGATGAAGTTTAACTGTCAATGAAATAGAAAAACATCTGGTAGAATGGATTTCAACAACGGCCTGTATGTTTTCAATGGTGTTCCTGGGCTCGAAACTTCTAAAGGCGAACGTACGTATGATTTAATGTAAAAACAGAGACTTAATTGACTCTGATACTTCAATCATATATCTCTCTTCTGTGCTCAAATTTGCAGTATATCTCAATTAAGGTTTTCTGAAAGACTTTTAACAATTTTTTAAACTTTCTTTACTCTCTTAGGACTAGTGCCCTGTTCTAATGTTAATATGAACATGAGTAACTTGGGATCAACTGACATAGCGTCCGAAGTTGTTGTTTCGGACACTCGTGAAGTTGAAATCGCCGATATCCTGGTCGGTATGCCTGTTGAAACCCAATTAACTGTAAGTGCTTCTGGTGAAGTCTCCGAAGAGCAACCCCTTATATCTTTGCAACCGTTACTGGATGCTACTAGCCAAGGTATTATTCTTCAACCTCAAGAGGAAATAGTCGGTGCTGATTCGGAATCGGAAGGTTTGTCTGCTTACGAACAGATACCTGTGTCGGCGACTGATGTAATGCTAGATACCAGTGCTGGTCCCACAAGCAAACGAGGCAGAAAAAGTAAAAAACTTGTTGGTAAAAACAAACTTACCGGTGAACAACTCACGGAAAATAAACGAGCTGCCCGCAAATGGGATCGTAAACAAGTTCAAATCAAAACACTTGAAGGAGAGTTTTCTGTTACTGTATGGGCCTCTGGTAGTGATGATGACAATAAAAAAGGTATATCTGTAGATGATTCCACTAATCCTGAACCTGATCCAGATTATACCGAATACATGACGGGAAAAAAATCTTTACCTGGTGGTATACCAGGTGTAGATTTAAGTGATCCAAAGCAGTTAGCGGAATTTGCCAAAATGAAGCCTCGTAAACAGAATGATGACATTGCTAGGACAATTGCCTGCCCTCATAAAGGTTGCAACAAAATGTTTAGAGATAATTCTGCTATGAGGAAGCACCTGCATACTCACGGTCCTAGAGTGCATGTGTGTGCTGAATGTGGTAAAGCATTTGTGGAAAGCTCAAAACTTAAACGACATCAGTTAGTGCATACTGGAGAAAAACCGTTTCAATGTACTTTTGAAGGATGCGGGAAAAGATTTTCTTTGGACTTTAATCTCCGTACTCATGTGCGTATTCATACGGGCGACAGACCTTATGTTTGTCCTTTTGATGAGTGTAACAAAAAATTTGCCCAGTCAACTAATCTCAAATCCCATATTCTTACTCACGCGAAAGCTAAATTTGAAGTATTTGGTTGAATTTATATAGGCATATTATAATTTGTTAAGTAATTCTCTACACTTATGTTGTAAAATTAATTTTTCTGATATTCATCTGTGAATTGTAAAGTTTTGTCAAATATGCTGTATGCTAGAATTTTATACTGTATATATTTATACATATGATTAAATTATTAATCAGATAAAATACTAATTCCTTAATGAAATAGATATTACCTATATATACTAATTTCTTATAATTAACAGCATTTGTGTTGACTATCTAGTTTTGACAATTTCCAACTGATATTAATTTTCATAGAAAAATATATTCAATAACTAATGCAAATCTTGTGGAAAATTTCGAGCACTTTTTGCGTTTTTTGGTAAATTTGCTTTGTACATGCATATGCATTTACTGTCTTAAAAGCTATAGTTTTTAGTATTTTGTTAGTAGATATTGTTTATTTTCTCTATACAATTTAGAGGTAGATATGCTAAAAAAAATTTAACTTTTAGTGAAAAAGTTTTTTCGATTTAGTCTAAAATATTTCAAAGTTTATATAATACAAAATTAATTCTTCTTTGTTCTAGTTGTGTGATAATATGTGATAAGGTAATTTCTACCTAAGTTTGTTTTAAATGAGCTATTAATATTTAGATCTTATTTGCTAGTTTTTAAGTTAGAAATATTCTTTATAAGAGATTTTAAACAAATCTGCATTTTTTTTTTAGAGCTATTCAATTAATTTGTGCTGGAAATGTGAAACTTATACAAATTTGTGAAATAATTCCTTCCCTATACATATTGTTTGACAATAGTTAAATCCATAAAAATGGTCTTAACTTTTATTAGGAAAAATAATCATTTAAGATATTTCAAGCAGAGTGGAAAAATAATTTTTCAAGGAAATTTTTAAATTTGACTGCTAATTTTTATTATTATTATTTTTTTTAAAATGTTTTCTTTGGTAATTCATTGACATTGTCGTAATGCCATTGCTAATAGGCATACTGGTAAAAAGGTATTTTTCTGAAAAAATTAAGAGGGCTGGGAAATATTTGCTTAATTGTCAAAATGGTTGCCAACTTTTAGCACCAATTGCAGTAAGGCCGCATTGCTTGAGCTTGAGACACTAAAAAAGAAATCACAGAAGGGGGTGTACTAAAAGAGTTTTATTCTTAACCACCTTTGAACAAATGAATATATATATTCATATATAATTTGAATTTATTGCTGGTGCAAGGGGCTGTTACACCTTTGCCTAAGTGATTATAGTTGACACGAACACATAATTGTAGCCATAACTAAATAGATTTAATTTATCATAGTATATTAAATTCTATAACTGAAATGTTATTAAATGAAAGGGTTTTATTATTTTTTCGAAACAAGTGGGTTGTTTGGTTTCAGAGCCAGCTTTAAAAGAGATAAATATGCATAAATTTAGTTAAAAAAAATTTGAAATTTTGGGTTAAAGAAAAAAAACATGGGCATATAAGTGTTTTTAAATACTTTGCAAAAAAAATATTTTGATATAAAAAGTCAGAATAATTATTTTTTGTTGATTTTAGTTGAATAAAAATCACCAATTCTCTAAATATTAGCAATACAATATAGCAATAGCAATTTTTGAAAATGATAAAAGCTAAAGAAAAATTTTCTGTTAAAAACAGCTTTTGATAGGTATTGATTAAGGCATTAAAACTTTTTTTTTAAATATCTTTTTTTTTTCAATTGAATTTAAACTGGGTAGCTGGTTTTGAAATGAGCGCATCATCCAAATGGTAGGAAATGTTACTATGTATCATTAACAGTTAAGTACTGTTTTATTTCTTTATTTTGAGTGACTTTATACATATGTATATTTATCACTTACAGAATCTAGCGATGTAAATAAAGGAATGTTTGTATAAGGAAGAATGTTTATACTATGTATTATCTTAAGATAGCCTATTTAAATGATACAGATAGTCTCTAAATATCTGATACATACTGTAAATTACGATCTATAGAACTATTTTGACTTTTTACATAGAGATATGTTTGCAACTGATTTGTAATTATGTGTATTTGCAATGTAAAATAAGAAAAAAGCCCAATTAATAGGCTTTTTCTTTGTTGTATATATGTTTTTTTTTTTTTTTTTTTTTTTTTTTTTTTTTTTTTTTTTTTTTGCATATTGCAAATTTAATGCCATATTGGTTGTAATTTTTGTTAACATGTTTGAAGTGTTGTGATAATGCTCCTTTTTCTTCTTTAAATTCTTTTGATATAAATATTTGCTGTAAATTTATTTTTTTTTCCTAAATCATACTAAATTTTTTATAGCCTAAACTTGGTAATTATTTTTTATTAATTTCTCTATTAAAAATTTTATTATGTATGGGTAATATATTATGAAATAAAAATCTTCAAATGACTTGTCTTTATGAGTACTATATTGATTTTTTAAAAAAAATTTCATTTCATGATGATAGTTAACCTATTTATATTATAAGAAAAGTACCTCATTTTAAATTTCAATCTTGTGCAAACGGGTTAAAATTGTTTTGGTAAGGCCTTAGTTATTTTTAGGCTAGGTTTGACCATTTTAGTAGTTCAGTCAGTAAATTTTTCTTACTAATTTTTGGATGGTTACTAAAATTTAAAAGAAGTATGTTTTACAACAATTTTTTTAGTAATTCTTTCTCATTGTACAGTAATAGCTATTTATTTTTTTACACAAAGTTTGCACCTTAAGTTGATTTTTAATACCAACGATAATAAAACTTTAAGTAAAAGTATTATTTATCTTAGTAATTTTTATAAAGTTAATTATTTAACAATAAAAATTATGGTTATCTTATTGAAAACTTTTCTTAAAATATTTTTGTAATCAGAAAATTTAAATTGAGAACTGCAGTTTGAATTATGTAATTTTTTTTCAAGAACTAAATGGTTTCCTTTTTAACCTTTTGCTTTAATCTACATTGTACATACAAGATTGCATATATCCCCAGATATTGTACATATATCCCCAGAAAATTATCTTCCATTCAGTGCATCCAGGTACAACATGAGGTTTCAAGAGCAAAAGGTTAAAGAAGCATTGGTTTCTTTATTATTATTATTTTGTCTGCCTTTTTTTATTTAATTTCTGATAGCTAATATTTCTGTTAGGAATCGTAAAAGCTCTTCAAAAACTGGAGACCAAAATTAAACGTCTTAAGCAGGTAAGAAATTCTGAAAGAGAAATGTCATCAAAAAGTGGAAGTACTGATACTGAAGGTGAGAGTTTCAATAATTATAAAATTTTAGTAAACTTTTTGCAACATTGAAAGTTACATACCACATGCAAATAATTTATACTAATTTTTTAAGACAGTTAATAGTTTTCAAAATGTTTACTTAACTTATTGTTAAATTTAAGTTAAGCCTAATATTGTGAGTCGTAAATTTTCTCCAGCTTTTGTGTTTTATTTTGATAGGTCAGGCCACCTAACTATTTTCTCAGACTTTTTACCTAATAATGTATCAATGTTATTACCTGGGTATTTTTATTATAAATCACATTTCCTTGCACAGTTTGTATGCAGCCCTCAAAACTTTACCATATCGGCCATTTTGTAGTTTAATTTATGGTTGATTCCTTAAAAAAAAATTTTTTTAAACTGTCTTATAAACCAAAAAAGAGTATAACACTACTTTTGACTAAACATATACAAAGTACTGCATTAATGAAGCATATATCTTAATTCATGCTAAAATAGCTAATTTCAGTAATGTTTCAATTATATTATTTTCAAACACCAAATTTTTTTATTAAATTTTTCTTGTTCTAAAAAGTTTTAGTAAAAGGTGACAAAGCTTATTTATAGACAATCCAGAAACTTAGTTTTGTACTTTAAAATAGTTAAGAACATAATCAAGATTATTAAGAAGTTTTTCCTTCATTTGATAATGATACAAAATATTGTAAAGCCGGAAGAAAAAGTTAAGATTGCAATATTAACAGTATCTCACTGAGATGTGACCTGTGAATGAATATTTAGCCACATAACGAAAATCCAGACTTAATTCTATTTTGTCAGTACAAACTTAGAAAATTTATTTACTGGGAAGGCAAACCAAAAAGATTTTCAAAAACATTTAAAAAGGTATGTATGTTTTAAAAAAAATTGTTTTTTTTTTTTTTTTTTTTGTAATTTTTAGTGATAAAGCTACTTACATAAATTTAAAGTATGTGAACAGCATTAAAAATTATGAAGAAGTTATTGTTCCTTTGGACCAATAAGCATCATTATGTACTGGTCCACAAACAAAAGCATTGGTCTGCTTAAAATTTAATTTTATTTGTTCACTTAAAATCATCTTCATGCTTCCTAACATCACATTTGTTTATTTCAAATTAAAATGGATAAACAATTGAATAAAATAGATTGGTCTTACATAGCTGCCAACTCTACTGGATTTTGGTAATTTCTACTGGTTTATTTAAAATTCTCCTGGTTTTTGTGCATTTTAGAAAATTCCCTAAAATTGAGTAAGTTTCTTAAAAAAATCCCTATTGAAATAGAATTTTTGTACCGACTATTGCTTGCTTGAATAATTAAATAAGTGTAACTACATAATGAAGTGAACCTCGTTTATAGAAATCAGTTCAAAACTTTTTTTTTTTCTAAAATGTTCCATTTATTTTTATTCAGAGCTCTCTTTTTAAATTAATTTCGAAAATCTGTTAACTATGTTTGATGAATTAAATGCCTATTAATATTCGAAATTATGAGTAAACATAATACATAAAATTTTAAGTATAGTGGAACATCAATTATACGACGCCGAAGGGACCACCGAAAAACGTCGTATAAACGATAACGTCGTGTAATCGATTTTTACTTCTAAAACTGAAATTAACTCTGTTTTCAGTTAATTTTAATGTTTAACGTGTTGATTTACATAAATTTCTAAATTAGACAAAGCAAAACAAACAAATAACCAAAGAAGAAAAATTGCAGTGAGCAATTTGAATGTATGTTACCTTTAATTATATTTTCTTGCTATTAGTCTCTACAATGCTTTGAATAGCGAGTTGAACTTACTGCTTTCTATGATGCAATTTTAGATTTCTAATCACGGCCAAATCTAATGGCTGAAGCGCACTTGTGCAATTTGCAGGAAAAAAGAGAGCTTTTACATTTTCCAAAATAATTAGTATCGATGGGTGCGCTGGACATTGGTCGATGAATAGCAAAATTTTTCGTTTTTGCCTCTTCATAACATTGTCTAGTTTTTTCAGTCATCTAGTAAAAATTACGGTCGTCATCCAAGCATTCTTGTTGGCACCCTTTTCTGTATCATTCATGTTGGCAAATTCCGCCCTTTTTTAAAATACACAAGAAAAAATAAAAAATTAAATAAACGTGAACAAAATCTAAAAACCGACGTATAACCGATTCTGTGCGTCGTATAAACGATATATTTTTACATTAAAATGAATAGGAATGATTTGGGACCACACTAAAACGTCGTATAAATGTAATCGTCGTGTAAGTGATCGTCGTATAAACGATGCTCCACTGTATGTTTAATGTCAATCATGACTGGAAAATATTACAGTTTTCCATTTTGATGTCTATAAAAATTCCCTATGCATAAAATATTTATTACATGATGCAACAATTATCATGAAATTTATATTTTGTGAAATCTACTGGATTATTTCTTATCCATGCTAGCAGCTAATATCCAAATAAAATTCAGAAAAATTACATTAATATTAAATAATGCATACTGTGTATTATATTTTGTTATTTCCCTCATCAGACTAGCCATTAATAATATATTAAGTGAAAAATTCAAAATTTTAAAGCAATTAAAAATAATAATACTTCCAATGGAAAAACACGCTTAGCAGAAGTGTATCCAAAAGGAATTGAGACAATGAAAAAATAGGTCTATAATAAAAAGAATTTTTACTCTTCTTTATTGGCTTCTGTATTTTATATTGTATTCTTCTGTATTTTAAATTGTATATTATGTATTCTTTTCTTTGACTTTGGGGTACAGAGAGGGCAATTTTTGTCTTGGTCTCTCGATAGAAAAGGTTGCTTTTATGACTTCTGGAGCTGGCACCCCCTGAACATGTCACCTTTGGTTGTCATATTTATCCAATTTTTTTCATTGTCTCATTAGATATTTATAATTTGCC